CCGGTTCGCCACTCCACCCAGCCGGCCAGGGCGAGAAGCACATCACGGGCTGTCTCGTCTCCGACATAGCGCCACACGTCGAGCAGGCCAGCAAGAGTCTTGTGGATCGCGTAATACGGCACGTTCCCATTGCTGAGTGTACGGTTCTCAACCTTGGCGATCTCCGACTCGGGGAAGCCCGACAAGTATCCAGCGTTGAACCCGACCGCCTCATTGTTCGCCTGGCACTTGGCAAGCTCGGCCACAAAGTGTGTGGCGTGGTCACGGCACTCTTCGTCTCCGAGGACAGCGTAACACTGTGCCCAACCGGTAAGAAAATGACCCTGAGCGTGAGTGCGGAAAGGGAAGTCGGGCGCATCCCATCCACCATTGGTAGCTGCACCTTGGGTATCAAGGCCATGGTTTGAGCGAAAGTTATATAGCAAACGCTCAGGGTCGACCCATTTGAGGTACGTCAGTGTCCTCTCCTGGTTTTCCAGCCAGCGGCCGTCAGTGAGCCGAACCTCGCTCAAATCGAAGCCATAGGCTAGGACTCCAATCTCGTCGGTGGCCTGTGATACGTGGGCAGATACAGTTGCAGTGTTGGTGAGGAAGCTCAGCAGCCCAAGAGCAACATAAACGCTCCCGGCAAGCTTTCCCATACCAAATATTTGATACATGGCTGGTTTCAGGTTATCAAAATAGTATGTTGAACTCGAGACTTGGCCGGAATAGACGAGTGAGCAACTTGCTCTGGGGTCATAAACACATTAAATAAGCCCAGCGGCCCTCAAATTATGTATAAGGTGGCGTACTTTCCACACATGTTCGATATATTCTGCGCATATTCCTTGCATATGCGAAACGGGTCACCTTGCAATGTGGCCACGAGTGTGAGTGGTGCGTCTAGAAACCAGCATCACACTCCACATCAGCATTGCTTCCATAGCCTTCAGCATTGGCTCTCCCACCGGGCGAAGTCTCCCAAGGCCAGTCCTCCTTGGAAGGCAACGTTGTGAGGGGACACGGCGGTTGAATGCAGAGACCCACGTCGCATCGAGTGGTTCGTCTTTCCCCGCCAATGAAGACGGTAAATAACATCACCCGGGGAGCTCGTGCTAACTCGCAAGATTAGCCGATAATTTCTTGAGGTGCGGTGACAGATCGACAGGTGCCAAGTTGGAGGGCAGGGCTGTGGCTCAGGTTCTACTGGTGCGGATGAGCACAGTCCGGTAGTTTCAACTACCGGCACGATAACCCTGGTTCAGACTCATGAATAGTAGAATAGATATGCAGAATGTCAAGAACGCTAATGTACTTCATCAACTCATTGCCAAACACTTCGTTTCCCCCTTGTAAAAATAACCCGCTCAGATGCCGAACAAGATTGAGACCGATGCTTACTTCCACCCAAACCAACTCGACCCGCCCTTCTTCTTCTCCTCCTCTTTCCTCTTCCATTCCCGCTCCCGCTCGACCATCCGAGCCTGTAGAAGCATAGCCTTGCCTTCCATCTCATGTGGCGTTATGAAGCCTCTGCCGCCGTCCGGCGCTGTATCCTTGTCATCCGGACCACTGTACCACATGTCGACCACCCCAACCACCGCGCACAGAGACTCTGATTTCTGAAGGAGCCACTCGCCGTGGGTCAGGCCATCCCGCCAGTGCGTAGGTAGGTTCTTGTATCCAAGGAAAGATCCCAGGAGCGCACCCGCAAAGCAGGCATTTGTATCCGCATCGCCGCCCCACATGATGAGGTCTGTGATGAGAGGCTCGAAGATGCTCATCTCGTTGTGCAGCGTCTTGGGTCTGCTCCCAAGAGCCCTGAACGCCAGACGGAGGGCATGAACGCCCGCCCCGAAGCATTTGTAGACGTAGCCAATCTTCCAGCCCTGGCCAAGCTCCAGGTCGGCGTAGTCCTCCACCCTGACGTGCTGCCAGAACTCGTCGCGGTCGAGGTCCGGCTCGTCCTTGCGGCTCTCGTCCTTCATCTGGCCCTCCCGGTACCTCTCCCACCACTCCAGCGCCTTCTTGGCGACATCGTCGATCCCGCCCTCGCTGCGGATCTCTCCCAGAGTCAGGCCGCGGACCAGCGCCGTGCCGACAGCGCAGCAGATGATGCACCTTGGATCGACGTGGGTCATGACAGAGTACGAGGCGGCGACCTCGAACGTCTCATCGAGTGTTTTGTTCAGGCACATGAGGCCAAGAGGATGGGTCCGCATCAGGCTGCCGTTCGGGGCTGCATTGTAATTACAGATCTTCCAGTGGTGTCTCGCGGTGTCCTCGGGGCCCTCCAGGTACGCCTTGCTCCTCACAATGGCGCCCACGGTCCTGCCCAGGCCCAGGGGAAGGGTGTCCAGTGCCCTCAGGCCCTGCTGCACCCAGATGCTCAATCTCGAGGCAAACTCCTTGGGGTCGAGCTCCTTCCCATCCACATGAAGATAGGCGAGCAATATCAGCATGGCGTGGTCCGTGTCGTCGGTCCACTCTCCAGGAAGATGGGGAGCACGGTGCGAGTCATGGCGGAAGGGAGTTGCCTGGTCGCTGGGGAGAAGGGTGAATTTGCGGTCGGTGTATGAGTGAAGTGCCATGTCCGTCGACAGGAACTCGGTGTACAGGCCGATGGCATCGCCAAGGGCTGAGCCAAACAGACAGCCGAGGATGCGGTCGTGAAGGGCGGCCTTGATAGTGGCCTGAGCGGCCTCTGGGCTCACATTGAAGGTAGTAGCCATAGCCGGGTCGTGGACGTTTAGCACCCGCTGTTCTGAACACAACGTGATGGTCTTTGTAGGGGCAATCAAATGCAGAGCGGACGGCCTAGACTTTTTAAGCACCAGCCGAGGCGTCGTGACAGACTCACACGTCGACGCCAGCGGCTTGTCCAGAACCTGAGCTGAACCAGAGTTTAGCGCTAAATGGCATTTAGAGGAGGCGGAGCAGTGCTGTTTCATTGTCCAGGGCGCCTACACGCCCTTATAGTGGTGCCTAGCGGTTTGGTTAGCAGCCCAACCAGTGCTAGCATTGGGCAGGGGTACCTGAATGCTGTCGCCTGGGGCTGATTTCCCCCATCCACACATCAACTTACAAGGCAGCAAGTTAGCAGGTGATAATAATAGATCCTGCATCGCTCCAGGCATGAAGAACTCCTTATCTTTCATGTTAGTCTATTAGCCAGCTATGGGATGAATCCGGTTGCCTGATAGTTGCATAGCAGTTGAATCTAGGAATGTGGCGAAGTCCACACACCACCCCGAGCTAAGGTTATTTATTAAAGATAATATATGCTGGTATGGACACGCGTTATTAGCCTCTATTCAAGTAGATATATTATATAGTCAAATAGTTATTTTTCCCCTTCTGCAAGGATTATCTCACCCACCCAAGCGACTGACATAAAACATGGCACACTAAAGCTCTTTTCATATAAGTCAGGGACCTCATTTTCTTATTTATAATACTAATCGTAATAATAAGCTAATCATAAATTAGTCTATAATACTTAGCTCGATATTGTGTTTATTACTGAGTTAATTGTTTTAATATTATATTGCAATTCATCGCTGGAGGTTCTGGGTGTGCCATGTTTTAGTTTAGTCGCCTGCCACCATGTTAAACAACTCCGTATTCACACGACCTTACCAGAGCACAAGATTAGGACTGAATAAAATCTAGACCGGCACATAATCTAAAAATTCCCAGATAGGTGGGGAGATCTATTGTATCGCCTCGCCTAATAGTGAGGTAAACGAGCCTAGCTTTTTGTGCTCGTCGGATTCTTTGTTGCCCAGCCACGAGCTAAACTCGCCTCGCGAATAATGATATATTCCTTACGGGGCCTGCAAACAAACGCTTTATGATTTCGTCCTATTCAAATCTGAAGATGTACAACGAAACGAGCCAGCCATCTCATCACTCTCTGCCCAAGTTCCACAGACCATCGCCGAGGAAGTGCGCATCCTCGACGACAGGCCCCTTGCCCTTGGCCTTGACCTCGGCAGTCCCAGCAACCAAGACACCGACAGCGCAGGCCTCCTCCTTGCCCTCCGCCATGATGACGACCGGCTCCCCCTTTTCCAGCTCCCGGCTCCACCTGCCGTCCTCGTCGACCTTCTGGTCCAGCTCCTTCCCCTCCTCCAGCTTGGGAGCAGCGCCTTCGACGGGCAGCCTGCCTCCCTTGCTCGTCAAGCCCGGAGCCATCAGAGTAGCCCCGCTGAGGACAAATCGAATGGCACCCCTATCGATCCGTACCGTGGGGAAAGCTTGGGGGTAGCGGTGGACGAGACGGAGGTGGGGCATGACCTCGCCGGTGTCCTGCTGGTAGAACAAGGGCACGTTGTCCAGGACGTAGAGGGTATTGCGGTCGGGAAGCTTCATACTCTCGAGAGAGCTCTTCTTGGGGAGGATCTCATCGATGTAGGGCGTCATGAGCGGGTATGTCGACAACAGAGCTTGTCGCAGCGACCGCTGGACCGACGACTTGAGTTTTTGCTTGGGAGCTGGGTTGATCCTGCAAAGTGGGGCAGAAACATGGTCAGTACGGTAGCTAGGACGGTGGTCGATTTGCGGGGGGAGGGGGAGAGACATACTCCTTCTTGAACATTTTGGCGGTGTTGAGCTCGGTGAGCTGTTTAGACGCCGGAATTCGAAGCTGGGAAACGTTGCACGCGTCTCTGTTGAACAAAAGTCTGGATGGTGGGGGTGGAGGGGAGCAAGTTGCCCCGCGGTGGCCGTATTCCGTGGCGGGGTATCAGAGGTACCAATTCCGCTTCCTAAAACCAACCCAAGCACAAGTACCTCATGTGGCACCACTTTACCACTGCAGGGCCGAGGAGCACCGTGGGCTGGCGGACCAACAGGAGGAGGGGAAGACATCATGGAACTCAATCGCTGCGGGAGAAATAACGAGGGAAACACACGGGGCACAAGGCTTGGACTTGATTGAGAATATAGTCTATCATCGGCATATGTACACATCAACTGAGCAACCGACAGCTACTCCCAACACACCCATTCCTCACTTAGCCGAAGTTGACCTTGGTGACAATGTTGTCATCATTCACATGGACGTTGAGGCGATCAACGCGGAAGTCTCTCGTCATCATCTGGCCAGGCTTGACGATGCGGTGCTTCTCTGGTAATTCCTTCTTGGAGAATGTCTACAGAAAGGTTCTTGTCAGTCCCGGCCTGGGATAAAGTGCGCAACTTGTTCTCGTCTGCAAGTGAACTTACAGTCTCAGTTGTCTCCTCCTCGTGCAGAGTCTTGCCGACGAGCTTGTTCTGCCACTCGACATTTTTGTCTCCGGTTGCCTGGGAATCGACGAGAGGCATCTTGGCGACTGTGAAATTTCTGTGTAAAAGGGCTTTGATGGCGCGTGAAGCTGGATGAGCTAAAGGTGGTGATCTAGTGAGATGAATGGTTGAAGTTTGTAGGATTCCAGCGGGAGTTGCTGAAACCGGATCAATTTATAGAGTGTTATGCGACGGGTAGGCAGCCCGTCCACGATATCGCCACAGTTGATGACCTGCCTTAATGGACACCAAAACACCGGCTGGCGCAGTGGTGACGTATGCTAGCGACGATGCGACACTCATCATGTTTCTCAATGCGCCGCCCTCCGATCCAAACCTGTGACGAGCTGATCATCGCGGACCTTGATGGCAGGTATTACTTCATCACCACCTCTTATCGAATTAATTCCCCCTCAAGAGTTAAAAGGATAAACTGGGAGATCACCAAGCTCCAGGTATTCTCTCACAGCGCATCCATACCTGGAGCTTGGTTCTGTATGAGTTAGCTTTAGGGTAGGTAGCCGTGGAGCTGGGTGACGGACATGAGACACAGTTCCACCACATCACAATAATACTCACAGCAAACAATATCGAGAGAGCATAGTAGGTTTGTTTCGGAAAATGATATACTCTGGACTATGCTCTTATTTACTGGTCTTAGTGATTACCATTGGCAGTCAAAGAACCTTGACCCCATGGCTTGGACATTAGAGTGCCCGGCGTTTCGGTCCCACGCTTTCCGCGGAAGGGTAAGGGCCTGTGCAGGGACACGATTCTGTGTCGGTCATGCAATGCAATGACATCAATCACCATGTTACCCAAGTAGGTAGTAAGTGGTCCAAGATAATCAACATCACCAGTGCAGCTACCGTCACATGGAGTGCTGATAGCGCTGATCGGCTTGTCCTCTCATTTGAAAGGAAATCCAACAGCCACAGGTTCACCGCAGCTGCCACAACTACACAGCCACGTCCCAGAAGACCGAGCCCATTCCATGCTGACGCTGACATGAGGTGGAGCTGGCTTCGCGAGCTGACCTTGCTGGATACAGGTAAGTACTCAAAGAGGCGTACATGCTAGTACGCACTGACACGAAGGGCTGAGTGAGCCCAAGGGCTACTACGAACTTAGAGGCCTCTGAATTCCTGAAGCATGCGCGTTTGTTCAGCTCGGATTCTGTCTCAAGTCGGCAAGCAAATGGTTTCGCCCTGGACGAAAGTCCGTCCAAGACAAAGGCGGAATTGAGTGTTAAAAGACCACCTGCATCGTCATCATGCTGCGTGTCCAGCAAGCAAAGCAAGGTGCCTACAGATTCGCCGTCTCAGCACAGTGCCAGCGGAGTAGGCGCACGCATCTTTCCGATCCAAAAATAAGACTGGCGGTAGTGATTTTCACACTCTCGCAGGGCCCGGACCAATCTGACAAAGCAGACTCAGCAAAGCCCCACCCTCTGGCAGGGCGCCACACAGTGCGCCTGCACAGCCGTAACCAGGTGCGATGGACCCGTGGTTAGGTGATTCCCTGCTCCCTAACAACCCGCCTCTGGCCAGCACAACTCATCTTCCAGCTGCTCTTCAGGGGTCCAAACACGAACTTGCCAACCAACCAGAGCTGTCAACCTGACACACCCAAAAAAAGGCTTGCCCCGTGCCATCTCCTTTTTCCTTCTCTCCTCCCCATCCTCTCCATCGTCATTAACAATCATCTTCCGTTCTGTCGTCCCCTTTCCCCCATCACCAATTTTAACGTACCAGCCAGTAATCGACTTTCTTTTCCTTGTTCCCGACCCGACAGGCCTCCTTCGTTCCTGGGCGTTGCGGATTTTGACGTGTTGATGACCTTGTGACCTCCCCCCCGAACCCGACATCGAAATTCAAAAAATAAACGGAAACCAACCGCCAACCATATTAATTCGCCGTTGCAAAAATGCGTTTCTTCCCCACAGTCTACCTCGCCAGCGGCGCCATCGCCGCTGTCGTCGCACCCCAGAACGACCAGCCCAACTGCGTCCTCTACCACCGCGCCGAGATGGCCGAGGAGGCTGAGTGCGGCAACCGCGACACCCTCAAGACCTGCTTCGAGAAGCTTGAGAACCAGGCCGTCCCCCAGCTCGAGGAGTGCTACAAGGCCGCCGGCTGCACAGACGACAAGGCCTCCGTCCTCGCCCTGGGCGCCGAGGACCGCTGCCTGACCAAGATCGCCGGCGGAGAGCTCCGAAAGCGCACCCGCGGCGAGCTCGACGCCCGCGCCCCCGAGCCTACCTACATGGCCAGGGCCGAAGACCTCCTGGAGAACGCCCCCGGCCTCCTGGGCCGTGCCACAACCTCCTCCTCAAACACAGACACCATGAGCGGCTCCTCGTGCGTGACCGCCAGTCTCACCAAGGTCGAGTCCTGCGAGCCCAGGAGCAGCGGTGGCGGCAGCACATGTTCCAATGTCGAGCAGACCAGCTGGGTCTGCACTCCAGGCTGGACCTGCAGTTTCAACGTCGAGGGCACGCACATCTGCATGGTCCTCCACAACAGCCTCGACATCGCCGGAATCATCGTCGCCATCGTCATGGCCGTCGGTGCCATCGCCGGTATCGTCACCATCACCTACCTGTGCGTCCAGAACAAGAAGGAGCAGAAGCGCCTCACCGCAAAGGCCGAAGCCACCGCCCTCGCCCGTGCCGCCACCAAGAAGAAGCGTGCCGCCGAGCGCACTCCCCTCAACCAGGCTGGTGCGTCTGCTCCCCCCACCGCCGGCGACCCTTTCGCCGACCGCAACCGAGGCTAGATGGCTCGAAGTGCTGGGGAAGGGAGCACGCACCTGGGAAGTGTACAAGAGGAGGGTTCGCGTCGTGGGTGGCGATAACCCCACGCGCGGCGTTCACCTGGCGGTGTCCAGGCTGACGTTATGACGGAGGCCAGCATTATTGGTTATAACGATGGTGGATGGAAATTTTGTGTGAGGAGTTGAATTGCCTTGTTTTTGTTCCATATCTCATCACGCATATTATTTCGATGGTATTATTCCTGGTCATTTAAGGGATTAAGTAAAGTACCTTGTAAAGTCTGGAAAATGAAAGGATCGGATTTGTCAAAATAGAATACCTACTATTTGAATGTGAATCACTCACGTTATTACAACTTTTCATTCCATTTACGCATGCATGTGGGGAGAGGGAGATTGGGTTGCAAGACGGTCACATTTGGAACACTTTTATGGCCCAAGAATTGACTCTGGGACATTTGCTGCGGCAACAAATCCATGCTTCATATCAGCTACTCGAACAACATGTTGGGTTTCCTTCCCAAGGTGGGCTCGGGGCGTCTAGTAAACACCATTTGGGAAATTTGTGCAAAAACAAGATTCGCTAACCCGGCGTGTGGTGCAGTCAACGTTAACCGCTTTCACCGCTGTCAAACCTCTCCACGCCCACTCTGTTCTGATCTTATCTGATCATACGAACATTATCATCCCCAATGAACCCCCCGCCCCGATACCCACTGTGCTAGTCAATCCACGAGGTCTTCTTGTCCTTCACGGCGCTGTTGGGTGTGTGGCCGAGATCAAGTCGCCTCGTGTTTGCCACCACCGGCGTTCTGCTACCTTCGGAAAGGGCATCATTCCTGGTCCGGGCCGGTAAGGCCAGGCTGCCTTTATCGGAAACCTTAGAAGCAGTCCTCTTGATTGTTACGTGTGTCGGGAGGCCGTTCTAGATCCCTCGTAGCGACGCCGGCCCTGCTACTGGGCTTCCGAGTGAACCAGCTGCCCCCAGGGGCCAGCTCGGCGGGCTGGGTATATCGTTGGGTGCACTCCACCGAACCCTTGGACTGCCGAGGTCTGCTCGAAGTTCGAATTTACCGCCACCGATGCCGGAGCCGTTGTCACTCTCCAAGTAGTCATACAGATCTTGGTCGCGGGGTGCGTCACCTTGCTGTGCCTCAAGATGCACTTTGAAAAGACGCAGGTTTATATAACCCTCAGAATCCACGTGACTGGTATTGCTTAGATCTTTATATAATTGAACGAGCAACGGGCGGAGGTGGAGGCTACCCGTGGGATTCGACCGCATGGGACTCATGGCAGAGGCTGGAGACGGCATGGCGAAAGGTGGAGGAGGAATACCTGGAGGCCCCCAGGTCGGTCCAGATAGCCCTGGGGGTGGTGGGAAGTGATGACCGGCGCCTGATGGAGGACCCCAAGGGTTGTGGTTGAGACTAAAACCTGTATCTAGGAACGGGTTGGGCCCAAAACCACCCTGGCGTGGACCAGGTGGCTGATTGCGAAGACTGGGAGGGCCAACTTCCGGTGCGATAGGTTCGTCATCTCCAAGGAGAGCCCGGCTGCCCAGATGTTGAGTTTCGTCATCCTTGTCGTCTCCAGAGCGGCCTTGGGCTATGCTCCCGGGCCTACCAATGGGTGCAGGACGTCCTATCGGCTGTGCAGGGACAGAAGAGGCGCTATCATAACCAGTAGATCCCTGGCGGACATGTGTATGGTGAGGAGGGGATGGATCTTTTGGCATTGGGAACCCTTGCCCCATGGGGAAATCAGGCGCCTGGGCAAATCCAGGGGGTGGTAGAGGCACAGGAGAGAACCCACGACCACCAGGACCATTGATTCCAGGCGGCGGAATCATCATGTTCGGGCCAGGGCGAAAGCCTGGAGGCAACATCTGCTCATGGCCCAGTCGACTTGGAAATCCTGGCGGCGGGGGATGATGAGCTAGCCCGGGGGGAGGCTGCATAGCCAAGGGCAGCAGACCCTGTATTGGCGTCGAGATACTTGGTCGACTTGACTGGACGCTGTGAGGCGATGACGACTGAGTTGTCGGTGGTAATGGACCTGCAAAACTTACGCTTTCCTTCCGCTGTTGCCCAATCGGCCGAGGGCTAGAGTGGGTTGTAGAATCTGGGTGAGGTGAAGGGTTTTGGCTTGCTCCTGATCCTGATTGTGATGTTGCAGAACTTAGATGAGCCGTGTCTATTTGCTGGGAGAGCGCGCGTGCTCGTATTGGCGTCGGCACCTTTGACATCGCGGGGGTTGCGACTGGTACTTTCGGGGAGGCGAACACCGAGGGATTAGGAGGATGTTGAGGGAGTACTGTGGGAATCGAGATGGGCAGTTGCGGCGTGCGTTTGGAAATGGACGGGGAGAGCTGAGCCTGGTGAGGAGACGTAAGGGGCGGCTGCACTGACGATGGCTTGCTCGGAATGGCATCCTCCTTTGCCCTCTCCTCCTTTGCCTTCTCCCTTGCATCTTGCGCCTCTCTCTGTGCCTTGGCAGCGCGGGCCTCCTTTTCACGCTTGTCACGCTCCTGCTTCTCTCTCCTCTCCAATGCTTCCCGTTCCTTTTGCTCGCGGGCCTCCTTTTCTTTCAATCGCTGATCCTCCTTCAACTTCTTCTCACGATCTTTGGTTTCACGGGCTTTCCGCTCTTGCTCGGCCTGTTTTTCACGCTGTTCGTGGATCCGACGTTGCTTGTCTGCTTCTTTCTTGAGGCGAGCCTCCTCTTCAGCCTTCTTCTGCGCTTCCTTCTGCCTCCGTTTCTCTTCGGCTTTGCGTCGTTGCTCAGATGCTCGCCGTTGCTCGGATTCGAGTCGCGCTGCCTCTTCCGCGGCCTTCTCTGCTTCTTTACGGGCTTTCTCTTCTGCGGCCGCCTGCTTCTTCTGGGCGGCCTTTTCTTTCTTCTTCTGTGCGTTCTTAGCTTTCTTTGCCTTTTGTTCGTCCTCTTTTCGGTCCTCCTCCTCAAGCTCTTCAATAAGCTTTGCTTGCCGTTCTTTGGCAACCTTTTCCTTGTAAGCAGACAGTACTCGTTGTTCAAACATACGAGCGGCAAAAATTTGGAACATTCGGCGACCTTCTTCCATTCGTTGCTCCTCGGTCATGGGATCCTGGCAGCAGCACTCAGTATGGGACCTCGACGGCAGCATAGAGGGGTTTGATAATACCTCTTCATCCTCATACTCTTCATCCTGACTATCGTCGTAGTCTTCCTCCTCCTCTTCCTCCTCCTCCTCGTAGTCGTCGTCTTCAGGAGAAGGATGATTATGAGGGTTGGAATATGAGCCGTTGGGATGACCGTAGCCACGAGAAAAGTGCTCTCTGGCGTCTTCTTCTCGGGCCATGCGACGTTCGGCAAGCTGTTCCATCA